TACCTGTATTTCTCTTCCTACCACTGGTTTCCTTGAATCTGCACTCAACAGCTTTTCTATTTGAGGAAGAAAATGTTTTTTTGGCTGGAGTAACTGTATTTACTTATCTTATTTTCCATACACTATCTACGCTTGCAGTTCTACACTTTGAGTAAGTACCCTTGTTTTCAGCTTTAACACAAAGGAACAAAGAACTCATCCCATTCATTGTGCATCTGGTACTCCACAAAACAAAGTTGACTAGAAAGGCTTCTAGTTAAAAACCCAGTCTCACAGTAACACTTCATGCCTTCAGGTACTCCAGGCAGGGCTCAAAGGTTAAGCAGAACATAAATGTACCTGTTTTCCAAAAATGTTTAGCTTTTGATTTTTCTTCTAGGTTTGTTGTCATGTTTGAGGGGTTTTTGTCTGTGTTTTTACAGAATTGGGGAGGTGGGGAAGGACATGCACACTAAGAAACTGCTAACAAAGAAAAAACCTCAGCAGAATCCATTAAATTCTGCAGAAAGACAGAGACAATCTGAGATTTCAGTGATTTCTATTCCAGTGCTACATACTTCAACTACCAAACAAGACTTTAGCATGACATAACTATTTCACTGATACAGCTTTCCAGTGTGTGTGGGAAGGCGGAAATGGGAAAGACAAAGGCCTCCCTGCTTGCACAACACATTGAGCCACCACACTTCAGACACTCCTGTTAGCATAGCTGTGCGAGTTAGGAATAATAAAAATTCAGTTAGGCCTGCAAAAGTTTTTGCTTCTGAAGCCACCTTCTCTCGTACACAGTAAAGGCAGCAAGGCAAGGAATAGCTACAATAGGAAAATATTTCTTCTGGAAGAAGCTGCGCTTCAACTAGAAAAAGCACCACACTACACCTATAGCAATGGGGTACTTCTTGTTTAGATCCAGACATACCATTGCATAGGAAGATTACATGTCAGTCTAGTTTAAAAAGCTCTAATGAGATACAACCTTTCAGGAATTTGGTAAGTGCCAAATTAGACTTCTTCTTCTGCCTCTGTCCCCCTGCCCCCCAAACAAAATAACCTTAGTTATGCACCAAATGTAATGCTGACAGTGCAAAGAACTACAGATTACCACACAACAAAACTATGTTCCAAAACATAATACTCACCACAGGAAGAAAGATTTGGAAACAGTTCCCTTATGTAAGCAAGTTAGTAATTCAGCAGTTCTGATGTCAATATTATTCATTAATCTGCCAGTATATTGACTTCAAAGCCAGTTTGGGCCTAGTTTAGAAGCTATAGCTGCTTTCACAAGCACAGTCTCCAAGCCACTAAATCCTGCTAACCAAGACATTGTTCTACACACAATCACCTCATGTATCTCTATATCGTATTAGCAGAACCACAGATGTACTACAAGGACACCTGACAACACAGCTCATGCTGTCAGGACTCATCAGCTCCAGCTTAGCACTGGTCTTTCCACTCCAGAGTTTCTAGGCCACATTCCATAGTAAAGGAGATTCTAGGAGACCATTTTGGTCAAGCAAACACCACCTCTGAACCAGCTCCACACTGCTACTAGTTCAGCAATTGCAGGTTCTCCTGAAATCTAGAAATTGAATCTAGTATGGGAAACTGGCAAAAAACACTTGCACAGGTAGCATCAGGAGTCAAAAAGACTAGCACAAAACCAAACTTTAACTGCTAAACTAATCCCAAGCACCCGAGCATACCCGCACAGCATTCTACTCATTAGCTTAGGTAAACATGATCTTTGCCCCCAGATGGACACAGCTTTTCCAAACATAAGACAATCCAAATAATTTTCTTCTACCATACACATATTAGAATAGGCTATTTGGAAAGGTTAAGAAACGTATGGTGCTTTTAAAAAATTTAGTATAAAAATTAACTATGCCTCATAATACTGTTTTTCAGCTTCAGGGGAAAGCTTCTGAATAAATGTTCACAGCTCTAACGGCAACATGAGTACCACCTCTGCTTTCTGCAGTGAGTTCACTTTCTACTATCATTGCACTTCTGAATCAGAGGCCTTATCCACATTAGCATCACTTGATTATAACTATTCAAAACAGAACTATCTCCATACCACTCTCTTCTCATTATGCCTAACATGAAAATACAGTGTGAAAATATGTCGCACTGCGCTTCATGAAGAGAACAAGGAGAGGGAAAATCCTACCCAGTGAGTCAGAATTGCCTTTATCCTTCAAAAGGATTTCAGAAGGCAATTGAGAAGCATCAGCTTGAAGACATCTCCATCCCTGCTGCAAAAGTGAGCTAACCCCAACATTAGCAAAGCCAATCTGAACATCTGTTTATAGCCACAACTAAGTAACACCAAAATGTGGATGTATTCCAATACATAAAAAAATATTTAAATCTGTAATTGAAGTAAAAACTTAGCTGAAAAAAATTCTGTGCCAGAAAAACATTCATTGGAGATGTATATACAGAGAAGGAAATGGTGTCTCACACTTGAAGAGAAGCTGTTCTGAATAATCTTTTCCCAAAGCAGTCACTTGGTAGAAGCCTTTTTGCAACTAAATGTTGAGCCACATGTGCCCCAAAGATGGCAATTTGTGACAGCTGGGGAAAAGTTACTATTTCAGAGATTAGGAAATTTTTATTTAAAAGAGAACTTCAACCTCACAATATATTGTCCTTATAAATACTCCTTGAAGGAGAGTGGAAAACTACTTCCTCCAAGAACAACTCACCACCTCAATAACTGCCTTATCCCATGGAAGCTTTCCTTGCTATTTTCCTTTCTGTTCAGAACAAGCTTCCTATTGTACACCACGATCTACTCATCTGGAAGAAAGAAAGGTTACCACAGAGGCCTTGGCCACACTGGAGAAAAACTAGCAGGACAAAGTGGGAATTAACATTTTTTACAAGTTACAGAAAAATTTAAGTTAAACGTAGTAGATTGCAAAAAGTTGAGTTTTGGTTTTTTTATGTATGTATAGTTGCAGAACTAAAACAACTGAACGTTACAACATCCAAACCAGTCAGTAACTGCACTTTGCTTCACATGTCCACATTCTAAAATACTGGACAGTTTCATGTTTCAACACATATATATTCAGAAATTAAATTTTCTAGGGTAAAGAAGAGCCACCTATAATGAAGAGCAAGCTAAGCAAAGAAGGTTTTTTGTGAGGTCAGATGAACTTCATCTGCTCAATACTTCATCTTGTCTGCAGGTGCATATTCCAAAGTTTAATACAAACAAGAGAAAGCAAAATGCTTATTTAGCTACTGCAACATACAGCATGACAAAGTGAAAATATGTTTAATTCAGTTGTAAACTTCTAAGCATTTAAAACAAGATCACTTCCCTGTTCAGTAGGTCAGCACCTACAATTACAAGTATCTATTCAATGTTACTTTAGAATTAAGGCAACTGACATCTATCCAGCAACCCAAAACTACACTCAGGGGGACATCTTCAATTATGAGGTAGATAATTTAAATCACTGCAATACTGTAATTAGAGAAAGAAGTACTACAAACACAAAGACCCTTGCGGTTTTTATGTCAACAATGAATTATGTATCAACTAAATCATTATGATTGGCAGACTGGTCAAGTCTATAATGAGAAAGACAACTACACCAACCGAGTAGGGATCATTTAAGGTTTCAGATCAGTGAAAAATGAAACTGGTAGCATTCTCTAGCCATTGCAGATCCAGTGAAAAACAATTTAAAACAAGTGCAGGGAGGCAGGGGGAGCCTACATTTTCCCTTACACTTGTGAAGCTTAAAGCAAAGCTGGAGTTTACAATCTAATCTTACGGAAAGAGGCTCCAACATCCTATATCTGAACCCATAAAATATTCTTTATTATTCTCCTTATGCAAAAAGTCAGCAATACATATTGTAAATACATGCATATACATATATATGCAATGTTACACAGCTCTAACATGTACAATTTTTTAAAAAAACTAGCCAAAGCCATTAAAAGCACGTATAACATATGGAAGAGTTTAGACCTTGTTCCAGCTCTGTCTAGAGGAATCATCCACTAACAGTCATTTCAACAAATAACACATTTACCAGGACAGAAAAAGAAATTGCTATTTCTATTTTCATTCTTTAACCTGACAGCTATGAATGGGCCAAGCCTAAGAAAGTATCAGCATTTTAGCTAATGATGGGATTTATCCCCACAAAGCTTCCCAAGAACATGTTGATAAGACACTATGTAGCCTATAATCAAGAATTCTACTAAAACAGAACACAGACCCATTCAAAATGAAATATAAATTTGCTAATTCAGAATGGAACCAAAAGCTGCCTCTAAAATCCTCAATGTTATAGTATGGTATTAAAATACAAATTTCATATTCAAGTTGAAAACATCAATAGCCACATTCAGGGTCTACATGCCCCACGTCTTCACAGAGCCAATGCAACATTTACCTCAGATTTAGCTTTCATCTATTAAAAAGAACAGAAAGACAGCACACTAGAACTTTTTGTCTTCAAAACTGCCTCAAGCCACTCTAAATGTATAGATGCTTATTAGCTAACAATCCTTTGGGGGGAAAAAAAAATTCTTTCAAGAACCTTCAACATTTAAACGCTTTCATTAAATATATAGAAACTACTAGAAGACTTTCTGACACCTACTCTGAAGAAATGCAGCTACAAGCAACAAATTTATTTTTGTCACGGTACACTCTTTCAGGAAACACTGCTGCACTCAGCCTCAAGGCCTGAGATTGCAGAAGGGAAAAGAGAGATGTATTTTGCCTTGGGCAAAACCAAAAGAAAACGCAATTCAGAAACACCAATCATGTGAATCACACCTAACACTACGATAATCATCTACCTAAGTGAAACAAGCTCTTTATAAGAATCACTTCAAATTATGTTGGCTTTGAAAGACTTCTACTTTTAGCTACAAAAAAGGCCCTTTTCCTTAAGTAGTGTTTTAAAGTTTAATATTGAAGTGCTGAAACCACTTCATATTCTCCAAAGAATACTTACTTCATTTCCATGCTTTTGCAGAAATTCTATTTCCTGTTGTGTGAAAGTGGTCATGGAAATTGACTTCACTCTGTGGGGTGGATTCAAGCCCCGTCTAAAAGAAGAAGCAATAAGTGTTTTAGTCAGTATTCAGGAAATCTGTCATCATACAATCACTTCTAACATTACAATCAAAAGTCAGTTTTATACTCAAGAGCCATCTCTATAAAACACACTCATTTTGGTACTGCCATGCAACTTAAGGTTGTGTAAGCTCATCTCAAAGTAACATGCATGCAAAGTCAAATAACTGAGCTTTAGGGGAGACCAATGTTTATAACTGCATATGCCAACTCACTCTGACCCACTCTGTGCAAATTTATGAAAACAGACTTTTTAAAAAATCATGATCTGCTTCCCCAAACACGTCCACCCTTGCCTCTGCCTTTCCATCTGTCAGTCTCAGGTCCTTCTGTTGTAGTTTTCTTTCCCTCCAAATCCTCCCTCACTTCAACCTATTCTTACTACAACTTCTGACCAATAACTAGATTTCTTCAAGCTCAGAATTATTTTCTGTTTTAACCAGTATTTCCAGCTTCCTCCCAGCATCTCTTCCCAGTTTACTTTTTGCCCCTCCATCCACAGATCCGTATTCTTCCTCCTCCTGCACACTACACAACAGCAACAAAGACAATGTTTTTGTTGTGCTCTCAGCTAAGATGCCATTACTAATGCAATAGCTTGGATCTTCAGCAGTTCTGCATTAAACAAAGACTGGCACCATTCTCACATCCACACCATAGACTGCTGCAGCAGAGCTAACAGAAACTCAAGTCACTTGTGCTGCCAAAGCCTGACATTGTCAAACCCAGTTCAGTCAAAACCTGCAAGCATAGAGAAAAATCCTGCTGAGCAACAGTGCCAGTGTAAGAAAAAGCCTTCTTTCTTTTCAAGCTCTTTCTTTAAATACATGCTAACTACTGCTTTTGCCCACAAATACTTACAATTAGAAAAAAGCCCTGCTTTGCTCAATGGAAACAAGAACGTTACATCCCACATACACCAAGCACTGGATACACTGGCTCAGGCAATACTATGGGGTTAGTTTAACACTCGAAGTTCATCAGGCCTGGATTCCTGCTATGCCATCTTAAACAAAAATTAACATACATTGCTATGTTATATATATATAACTCTGGGTTATATATATATATATAAATAACTCTGGGTTATGTATATGAGAAGGAAGTTTGTATAAAGAAAGTTGGGGGAAACTTTCCAGGGATGTAATATAGGGCTAAAAAATTGCTAACAAAACAACGGATAAGAATTTTATTGCTTATATCTGTTACTTTGCTTTAATTATAAAATTTGGTTCCAACTGCTTTCAGGAATAAAGAAAAAAATCATTGACATCCAATTTCAGATGATTAGTAGTTTTCATTAAACTCCATGTTTAGTCCAAGAACACTAACTATAAAACAGTGTGCAACAAAAAGCTGATGTTCCAAATACTAACATTTTTTACTCAATTTTTGAAGAAAATTTTTAGCACTTTGAGTTTCTGAGTAAGTAAAATGGAAAAAAAATGTTGTGCATTGAAACTGCAGTTTCACCTTGGCACCTAAATTCACACTGTACCTGAGAAAAAAAAAAATCTGATCCTGTTAAAAAAATTGCCATATTTTTAGTTAAAAGTTGCATACATATTAGAACACTAAGTAGTAGCATTTTAGTCTAAGTATTATTAAAAAAACAGATCTAAGGCACTTAATGTTTGAAAGACTTTGATAAAAATAAACATTTGTATTTTGCCAAGAAATGCAATGAACTTAACCGTGTTCTAACAACAGAAGCGATGCACAAACCTATTGGCATATAAGAATTAGTTTTACAGAATGCTATTTACTTAAGCAAATTTTTCAAATCTTAGCATCTAAAATTAGACTTCCTGGTTCAGCACCTCAAAAAGAAGGCAGAAGTTGTTCTGAGACAGTTTACTCAACTCAACCATCAGCAAATTTTTTGTCTCAAAATCTTTACATTCCATGGTAAATGGAAATTAACAGTTTCACATCTTTCATCTAGCTGTAAATAAAAACGGCATCCACATAAAAAACAACCACTTACTAAAATACTGTATTATCTAAGATTTTTTTTAAGTAAATATTAATTTTTAGATAATGCAACTTTAAAGTCTGCAAGAGTTCTATGCATTGAAAATTCACTGTGTCAGAGCTGGTGCTAGTATTAGATTTCATTGTTTGAGTTTCATTTGTTTCACGGTTTTCTTTAAACATGGTCTTAGTCCATGCATCTGTAGAATCAAGTATTAAGTGACAGCATAGAAACAAAGTCAGCATCCATCTGGCGTTTCACATAAATATGCTCCGTTAAATATGCCAATCGCTGTCCCTGGCTTGTAGAGTAAAAATAAAAGCGGATCTGTCTACCCTAGACTAAGTTGCAGTTAGATACTTAGAAGCTACTTAATGACTTTTTTAAAGCTAGGTTTATTCACTACAAAGTCACATTTTTCAGCACAATTAGTATATCTAAACTTCCACATTATCTTCTGCTGGCAATTAGTTCTTACAATAAATATAGTTGAAGTGCTACAAGATACCTGTATTTGCAATTTAAAGGCACTGCACAAGCTATTTAAGCAGTACCTACCCTACATGGGTCTACTAGAGATCTTCAAAATGTTTACATCAGCAAACATGTATCTTCAGTTATGTCAAGCAGCAATATTAAATGTACTTAAAGCACAGACTGGATTTTGTTTAGCCTTAACTAGAGACTTCCTACATGCCTCTCTCTCCAGTGAAGTTTGCTCTACAGTTGTTATAAAGTTCTCCTAGTTAGACATTATAACTGTGATGTGGGATAAGATGAATTCTCATTTCTTTGCAACTGTCATGCTTAAGGAGGAAGACATGCCCCACTTGTAAAGGTCAGCTCACAACACAGAAGTGTCAGATGTCTTGCATGTGGAAAGCACGCACTACCACACTGTTGGGCCAAGAAGACTGAAAATCCTGAACATAACTTTAATAGCTGTAAGTGTAAAATTTACTATCAAGCTGCGGACCATACATGCAAATAATTATTACGTTCGTTTAACATGGCAAGGGGCGGAGGGAATCCTATGGAAATCTTCCTCTTTTGCTAAAGCAGTGTAAGAAGGCAGACTGGAACAAGGAACTTAAGACAAGAGGCTGCATTATAAAGCATACAAACACAACCCAAAGGATGTGCCTTATGTTCCTTAGATAAATTGTTTTGATCCTATCAGCTATTCAGAACAGCTAAAATCCCTCATTTTTTTGTGCTTTCTAACTAGCCTGAGCCACTTGAAGTACAATTATACCCATGATCTGGGTAGAATCTCCCTAAAACAGTAGTTGTGGGATTTCTGAAGCAGAATTTGAGATTCAAGCCTAAGTACTAAAGCTACTCCTTCAAATCCTAAAATACTTTACCCCTGCATACCTACAGAGACTACTGGATGACCCAAATGAGTCACAAACAAGTCATCTACATATGGGGGAAGCTTAGTGGTAGACAGCCAAGCACAACTATCCCTTATGAGGAATTAACAAACCTTCTTTTTAATAGAAAAAAAAATGTATCTACCACTTGCTTTGTTTCTCTCCATGTATTTGACAACAGTTTTGCACAGTTCTAATGCTTTACAGTATTCCCTATTTAACAGGAGAAAAAATGGATTATAGTCCCTTAACCCAAATGAATAATGCCTAAATTAAAATTGACCCTGAACAAGTATCTGCAACTTGCACCCATGGAGCTGTATCATCTACTCCTTTCTCTACTACACAGTTGCTGAAGAAAATGCAACCATAGGCAACCTCAGCAATTAATCCACATTTCAGCCATCTCCTCAGAGGCCCTTGGGAAAGATGACCAAGTAAGACTATTCTGCCATCTGCACTTATCTGGCACACTATAGCTAGAACATCCCACACATAGATCCTACTCACCACTGTCAACTTCTCCACGCAACGGTGATTTCTGTGGAACAGCAGAGTAACCAGAATTTCCAGCTATGAGACTATCCTCCACTGAACTTCCATCAAAGCAGTCCAAGCTTCTAGTGACACTGTCATAGGAGCAGCTACAGAGAACAGGAGATCTCTGTTCCTCAGGGATCTCAAAAAGGAAGCTTTAAGACAACTAGCACAAGATTCTGAAGTCTAGAATCGAAACACTAAATATTTGGAACTCAGACAACGAGCACTGAACATTTGTTCCTAACATAATTTGGTAGCAAATTATGGTTGAATTTGTGATTGTTGGCAGAGCAGCCACTCCTCCATTCATTTCAAACAAACATCAGTGATATCTCCAAAGGCCAGGGCTGGGAGGGGAAAAAAACCCCAACAAAACAAAACCAGAAACACACTGAACAAAAAACCCCAAAACTTAAACGAGTGGTCTCTGCTGGAACAGAAGGTCGTATCTATGGGAGGAACAGCGGGTAGACAGCTAGTCAACACCACTGGTGTCCCCCTGTATCAGATTCTAACACAATCTCAAGTCTAAGCCAGCAAAATCTGATCCCCGGAGAGGCAGGAAGTTAATGAGACAAGTCAAATGCCAAACTGTCATAGAGCACCCTACATCCCCAGGTGTCTAGAAAACAAGCTTCAGAAAACCCAATCCGTAGCATTCGTTATTATTTCTATGCTGTTGTTACTACCAGGAGAGAATGATACAAGCAGTACTGGCCACTCCTGATACTTGTAGACATCCCTAGAGACATTCCACCATCTCACAAGCTCATTTATTTTTAAAAAGCAAAAGGCTCACACACACATTTAGAAGTACAATCAGGGTTGATTTAACTTCTCTTGATAACAAACATTTCTGAACTGTGGAGTATTGACTGTGGTGTAGACATTTCTTTTGCTCTCCAGCCATGAGACTGAAAAGAAATAATAGTAATATAGGAAATACACTTTGAAAAAATACATACATAGAAGACAGAGAACCATTTTCCAAACATCCTCCAAAGGAAAAAAGGACTGGAAATTCAGGCCAACACAGACAAAACCATCTTCACTCTTAACACATTTTATTTAGACC